ATTTGTAATCCCTTGTGTTAAGCCGTTTTTTTAGTGTTCTTTTGATGAGTTTGGCTTGTTGTTATGAAAAGTGTTTGTTTTGGCGAGTTTGAACGTTTTTGAGCATGTGTAATGGCATGAATGCGTTAAGCTGTTGTTTTAGTGTTCTTTTGATGAGTTTGGCTTGTTGTTATGAACATTGTTCGTTTTGGCCAGTTTGAAGGTTTTTGAGCATGTGTAATGGCATGAATGTGTTGAATTAGTAATCCCTTGTGTTAAGCTGTTGTTTTAGTGTTCTTTTGATGAGTTTGGCTTGTTGTTATGAAAATTTTTTGTTTTGGCGAGTTTGAACGTTTTTGAGCATGTGTAATGGCATGAATGCGTTAAGCTGTTGTTTTAGTGTTCTTTTGATGAGTTTGGCTTGTTGTTATGAACATTGTTCGTTTTGGCCAGTTTGAAGGTTTTTTAGCATGTGTAATGGCATGAATGTGTTGAATTAGTAATCCCTTGTGTTAAGCTGTTGTTTTAGTGTTCTTTTGATGAGTTTGGCTTGTTGTTATGAAAAGTGTTTGTTTTGGCGAGTTTGAACGTTTTTGAGCATGTGTAATGGCATGAATGCGTTAAGCTGTTGTTTTAGTGTTCTTTTGATGAGTTTGGCTTGTTGTTATGAACATTGTTCGTTTTGGCCAGTTTGAAGGTTTTTGAGCATGTGTAATGGCATGAATGTGTTGAATTAGTAATCCCTTGTGTTAAGCTGTTGTTTTAGTGTTCTTTTGATGAGTTTGGCTTGTTGTTATGAAAAGTGATTGTTTTGGCGACTTTGAATGTTTTTGAGCATGTGTAATGGCATGAATGCGTTTAGCTGTTGTTTTAGTGTTCTTTTGATGAGTTTGGCTTGTTGTTATGAAAAGTGTTTGTTTTGGCGAGTTTGAACGTTTTTGAGCATGTGTAATGGCATGAATGCGTTAAGCTGTTGTTTTAGTGTTCTTTTGATGAGTCTGGCTTGTTGTTATGAAAAGTGTTTGTTTTGGTAAGTTTGAACGTTTTTGAGCATGTGTAATGGCATGAATGCGTTAGGCTGTTGTTTTAGTGTTCTTTTGATGAGTTTGGCTTGTTGTTATGAACATTGTTCGTTTTGGCCAGTTTAAAGGTTTTTGAGCATGTGTAATGGAATGAATGTGTTGAATTAGTAATCCCTTGTGTTAAGCTGTTATTTTAGTGTTCTTTTGATGAGTTTGGCTTGTTGTTATGAAAAGTGTTTGTTTTGGGGAGTTTGAAGGTTTTTGAGCATGTGTGATGGCATGAATGTGTTGAATTAGTAAACCCTTGCGTTAAGCTGTTGTTTTAGTGTTCTTTTGATGAGTTTGGCTTGTTGTTATGAAAAGTGTTTGTTTTGGCGAGTTTGAACGTTTTTGAGCATGTGTAATGGCATGAATGCGTTAAGCTGTTGTTTTAGTGTTCTTTTGATGAGTTTGGCTTGTTGTTATGAACATTGTTCGTTTTGGCCAGTTTGAAGGTTTTTGAGCATGTGTAATGGAATGAATGTGTTGAATTAGTAATCCCTTGTGTTAAGCTGTTGTTTTAGTGTTCTTTTGATGAGTTTGGCTTGTTGTTATGAAAAGTGTTTGTTTTGGCGAGTGTGAACGTTTTTGAGCATGTGTAATGGCATGAATGTGTTGAATTCGTAAACCCTTGCGTTAAGCTGTTGTTTTAGTGTTCTTTTGATGAGTTTGGCTTGTTGTTATGAAAAGTGTTTGTTTTGGCGAGTTTGAACGTTTTTGAGCATGTGTAATGGCTTGAATGCGTTAAGCTGTTGTTTTAGTGTTCTTTTGATGAGTTTGGCTTGTTGTTATGAAAAGTGCTTATTTTGGCGAGTTTGAACGTTTTTGAGCATGTGTAATGGCATGAATGCGTTAAGCTGTTGTTTTAGTGTTCTTTTGATGAGTTTGGCTTGTTGTTATGAAAAATGTTTGTTTTGGTAAGTTTGAACGTTTTTGAGCATGTGTAATGGCATGAATGCGTTAAGCTGTTGTTTTAGTGTTCTTTTGATGAGTTTGGCTTGTTGTTATGAAAAATGTTTGTTTTGGTAAGTTTGAACGTTTTTGAGCATGTGTAATGGCATGAATGCGTTAGGCTGTTGTTTTAGTGTTCTTTTGATGAGTTTGGCTTGTTGTTATGAACATTGTTCGTTTTGGCCAGTTTGAAGGTTTTTGAGCATGTGTAATGGAATGAATGTGTTGAATTAGTAATCCCTTGTGTTAAGCTGTTGTTTTAGTGTTCTTTTGATGAGTTTGGCTTGTTGTTATGAAAAGTGTTTGTTTTGGCGAGTTTGAACGTTTTTGAGCATGTGTAATGGCATGAATGCGTTAAGCTTTTGTTTTAGTGTTCTTTTGATGAGTTTGGCTTGTTGTTATGAACATTGTTCGTTTTGGCGAGTTTGAACGTTTTTGAGCATGTGTTGAATTAGTAATCCCTTGTGTTAAGCTGTTGTTTTAGTGTTCTTCTGATGAGTTTTGCTTGTTGTTATGAAAAGTGTTTGATTTGGTGAGTTTGAACGTTTTTGAGCATGTGTAATGGCATGAATGCGTTAAGCTGTTGTTTTAGTGTTCTTTTGATGAGTTTGGCTTGTTGTTATGAACATTGTTCGTTTTGGCCAGTTTGAAGGTTTTTTAGCATGTGTAATGGAATGAATGTGTTGAATTAGTAATCCCTTGTGTTAAGCTGTTGTTTTAGTGTTCTTTTGATGAGTTTGGCTTGTTGTTATGAAAAGTGTTTGTTTTGGCGAGTTTGAACATTTTTGAGCATGTGTAATGGCATGAATGCGTTAAGCTGTTGTTTCAGTGTTCTTTTGATGAGTTTGGCTTGTTGTTATAAAAAGTGTTTTGGCGAGTTTGAAGGTTTTTGAGCATGTGTAATGGCATGAATGCATTAAGCTGTTGTTTTAGTGTTCTTTTGATGAGTTTGGCTTGTTGTTATGAACAGTGTTTGTTTTGGCGAGTTTGAACGTTTTTGAGCATGTGTAATGGCATGAATGCGTTAAGCTGTTGTTTTAGTGTTCTTTTGATGAGTTTGGCTTGTTGTTATGAGCATTGTTTGTTTTGGCGAGTTTGAAGGTTTTTGAGCATGTGTAATGGCATGAATGTGTGAAGCTGTTGTTTTAGTGTTCTTTTGATGAGTTTGGCTTGTTGTTATGAACAGTGTTGTTTTGGCGAGTTTGAAGGTTTTTGAGCATGTTTAATGGCATGTTTGTGTTAAGCAGTTGTTTAGTGTTCTTTGATGAGTTTGGCTTGTTGTTATGAAAAGTGTTTGTTTTGGCGAGTTTGAACGTTTTTGAGCATGTGTAATGGCATGAATGCGTTAAGCTGTTGTTTTAGTGTTCTTTTGATGAGTTTGGCTTGTTGTTATGAAAAGTGTTGTTTTGGCGAGTTTGAAGGTTTTTGAGCATGTGTAATGGCATGAATGCATTAAGCTGTTGTTTTAGTGTTCTTTTGATGAGTTTGGCTTGTTGTTATGAACAGTGTTTGTTTTGGCGAGTTTGAAGGTTTTTGAGCATGTGTAATGGCATGAATGCGTTAAGCTGTTGTTTTAGTGTTCTTTTGATGAGTTTGGCTTGTTGTTATGAAATTGTTTGTTTTGGCGAGTTTGAAGGTTTTTGAGCATGTGTAATGGCATGAATGTGTTAAGCTGTTGTTTTAGTGTTCTTTTGATGAGTTTGGCTTGTTGTTATGAACAGTGTTGTTTTGGCGAGTTTGAAGTTTTTGAGCATGTGTAATGGCATGAATGTGTTAAGCAGTTTTTTTAGTGTTCATTTGAAAGTTTGGCTTGTTGTTATGAAAGTGTTTGTTTTGGCGAGTTTGAACGTTTTTGAGCATGTGTAATGGCATGAATGCGTTAAGCTGTTGTTTTAGTGTTCTTTTGATGAGTTTGGCTTGTTGTTATGAACAGTGTTTGTTTTGGCGAGTTTGAAGGTTTTTGAGCATGTGTAATGGCATGAATGTGTTGAATTAGTAATCCCTTGTGTTAAGCTGTTGTTTTAGTGTTCTTTTGATGAGTTTGGCTTGTTGTTATGAAGTATTGTTTGTTTTGGCGAGTTTGAAGGTTTTTGAGCATGTGTAATGGCATATGTGTTGAATTAGTTAACCCTTGTGTTAAGCTGTTGTTTTAGTGTTCTTTTGATGAGTTTGGCTTGTTGTTATGAACATTGTTTGTTTTGGCGAGTTTGAAAGGTTTTTGAGCATGTGTAATGGCATGAATGTGTTGATTTGGTTAAGTGTTAAGCTGTTGTTTTAGTGTTCTTTTGATGAGTTTGGCTTGTTGTTATGAACATTTTTGTTTTGGCGAGTTTGAAGTTTTTGAGCATGTGTAATGGCATGTATGTGTTAATTGGCTACCCCTTGTGTTAAGATGTATTTTGAGTGTTCTTTTCAGAGTTTGGCTTGTTGTTATGGACATTGTTTGTTTTGGCGAGTCTGAAGGTTTGTTAGCATGTGTAATGACATGGTTGTGTTGAATCAGTTAAACCTTGTGTGAAGCTGTTGTTTTGGTGTTCTTTTGATGAGTTTGGCTTGTTGTTATGATCATTGTTTGTTTTGGCGAGTTTGAAGGTTTCTGAGCATGTGTTATAGCAGGTATGTGTTTAATTGGCTACCACTTGTGTGAAGCTGTTGTTTTAGTCTTCTTTTGATGAGTTTGGCTTGTTGTTATGAACAGTGTTTGTTTTTGCGAGTTTGAAGGTTTTTGAGCATGTGTAATGGCATGAATGTGTTGAATTAGTAATCCCTTGTGTTAAGCTGTTGTTTAAGTGTTCTTTTGATGAGTTTGGCTTGTTGTTATAAGTATTGTTTGTTTTGGCGAGTTTGAAGGCTTTTGAGCATGTGTAATGACACGTATGTGTTGAATTAGTTAACCCTTGTGTTAAGCTGTTACTTTAGTGTTCTTTTGATGAGTTTGGCTTGTTGTTATGAACATTGTTTGTTTTGGCGAGTTTGAAGGTTTTTGAGCATGTGTTTTGGCACGTATGTGTTGATTTGGTTACCCCTTGTGTTAAGCTGTATTTTAAGTGTCCATTTAAAGAGTTTGGCTTGTTGTTATGAACATTTTTTGTTTTGGCAAAGTTGAAGTTTTCTGAGCATGTGTTATGGCATGTATGTGTTTAATTGGCTACCCCTTGTGTTAAGATGTATTTTGAGTGTTCTTTTCATGAGTTTGGCTTGTTGTTATGAACATTGTTTGTTTTGGCGAGTCTGAAGGTTTGTGAGCATGTGTAATGACATGGTTGTGTTGAATCAGTTAAACCTTGTGTGAAGCTGTTGTTTTGGTGTTCTTTTGATGAGTTTGGCTTGTTGTTATGATCATTGTTTGTTTTGGCGAGTTTGAAGGTTTCTGAGCATGTGTTATAGCAGGTATGTGTTTAATTGGCTACCACTTGTGTGAAGCTGTTGTTTTAGTCTTCTTTTGATGAGTTTGGCTTGTTGTTATGAACATTGTTCGTTTTGGCCAGTTTGAAGGTTTTTAAGCATGTGTAATGGCATGAATGTGTTGAATTAGTAATCCCTTGTGTTAAGATGTTGTTTTAGTATTCTTTTGATGAGTTTGGCTAGTTTTTATTAAAAGTGTTTGTTTTGGCGAGTTTGAACGTTTTTGAGCATGTGTAATGGCATGAATGCGTTAAGCTGTTGTTTTAGTGTTCTTTTGATGAGTTTGGCTTGTTGTTATGAACAGTGTTTGTTTTTGCGAGTTTGAAGGTTTTTGAGCATGTGTAATGGCATGAATGCGTTGAGCTGTTGTTTTAGTGTTCTTTTGATGAGTTTGGCTTGTTGGTATGAAAAGTGTTTTGGCGAGTTTGAAGGTTTTTGAGCATGTGTAATGGCATGAATGCATTAAGCTGTTGTTTCAGTGTTCTTTTGATGAGTTTGGCTTGTTGTTATGAACAGTGTTTGTTTTTGCGAGTTTGAAGGTTTTTGAGCATGTGTAATGGCATGAATGTGTTGAGCTGTTGTTTTAGTGTTCTTTTGATGAGTTTGGCTTGTTGTTATGAAAAGTGTTTGTTTTGGCGAGTTTGAACGTTTTTGAGCATGTGTAATGGCATGAATGCGTTAAGCTGTTGTTTTAGTGTTCTTTTGATGAGTTTGGCTTGTTGTTATGAACATTGTTCGTTTTGGCCAGTTTGAACGTTTTTGAGCATGTGTAATGGCATGAATGTGTTGAATTAGTAATCCCTTGTGTTAAGATGTTGTTTTAGTATTCTTTTGATGAGTTTGGCTAGTTTTTATTAAAAGTGTTTGTTTTGGCGAGTTTGAACGTTTTTGAGCATGTGTAATGGCATGAATGCGTTAAGCTGTTGTTTTAGTGTTCTTTTGATGAGTTTGGCTTGTTGTTATGAGCATTGTTTGTTTTGGCGAGTTTGAAGGTTTTTGAGCATGTGTAATGGCATGAATGTGTGAAGCTGTTGTTTTAGTGTTCTTTTGATGAGTTTGGCTTGTTGTTATGAACAGTTTGTTTTGGCGAGTTTGAAGGTTTTTGAGCATGTTTAATGGCATGTTTGTGTTAAGCAGTTGTTTTAGTGTTCATTTGATAAGTTTGGCTTGTTATGTAAAGTGTTTGTTTTGGCGAGTTTGAACGTTTTTGAGCATGTGTAATGGCATGAATGCGTTAAGCTGTTGTTTTAGTGTTCTTTTGATGAGTTTGGCTTGTTGTTATGAACAGTGTTTGTTTTTGCGAGTTTGAAGGTTTTTGAGCATGTGTAATGGCATGAATGCGTTAAGCTGTTGTTTTAGTGTTGTTTTGATGAGTATTGGCTTGTTGTCATGAGCATTGTTTGTTTTGGCGAGTTTGAAGGTTTTTGAGTATGTGTAATGGCATGAATGTGTGAAGCTGTTGTTTTAGTGTTCTTTTGATGAGTTTGGCTTGTTGTTATGAACAGTTTGTTTTGGCGAGTTTGAAGGTTTTTGAGCATGTTTAATGGCATGTTTGTGTTAAGCAGTTGTTTTAGTGTTCTTTTGATAAGTTTGGCTTGTTATGAAAAGTGTTTGTTTTGGCGAGTTTGAACGTTTTTGAGCATGTGTAATGGCATGAATGCGTTAAGCTGTTGTTTTAGTGTTCTTTTGATGAGTTTGGCTTGTTGTTATGAACAGTGTTTGTTTTTGCGAGTTTGAAGGTTTTTGAGCATGTGTAATGGCATGAATGTGTTGAATTAGTAATCCCTTGTGTTAAGCTGTTGTTTAAGTGTTCTTTTGATGAGTTTGGCTTGTTGTTATGAGTAGTGTTTGTTTTGCAAGTTTGAAGACTTTTGAGCATGTGTAATGACACGTATGTGTTGAATTAGTTAACCCTTGTGTTAAGCTGTTACTTTAGTGTTCTTTTGATGAGATGGCGTGTTTTTATGAACATTGTTTGTTTTGGCGAGTTTGAAAGGTTTTTGAGCATGTGTTTTGGCACGTATGTGTTGATTTGGTTACCCCTTGTGTTAAGCTGTATTTTAAGTGTCCATTTAAAGAGTTTGGCTTGTTGTTATGAAAATTTTTGTTTTGGCGAAGTTGAAGTTTTCTGAGCATGTGTTATGGCATGTATGTGTTTAATTGGCTACCCCTTGTGTTAAGATGTATTTTGAGTGTTCTTTTGATGAGTTTGGCTTGTTGTTATGGACATTGTTTGTTTTGGCGAGTCTGAAGGTTTGTTAGCATGTGTAATGACATGGTTGTGTTGAATTAGTTAAACCTTGTGTGAAGCTGTTGTTTTGGTGTTCTTTTGATGAGTTTGGCTTGTTGTTATGATCATTGTTTGTTTTGGCGAGTTTGAAGGTTTCTGAGCATGTGTTATAGCAGGTATGTGTTTAATTGGCTACATCTTGTGTGAAGCTGTTGTTTTAGTGTTCTTTTGATGAGTTTGGCTTGTTGTTATGAACATTGTTCGTTTTGGCCAGTTTGAAGGTTTTTGAGCATGTGTAATGGCATGAATGTGTTGAATTAGTAATCCCTTGTGTTAAGATGTTGTTTTAGTATTCTTTTGATGAGTTTGGCTTGTTGTTATTAAAAGTGTTTGTTTTGGCGAGTTTGAACGTTTTTGAGCATGTGTAATGGCATGAATGCGTTAAGCTGTTGTTTTAGTGTTCTTTTGATGAGTTTGGCTTGTTGTTATGAAAAGTGTTTTGGCGAGTTTGAAGGTTTTTGAGCATGTGTAATGGCATGAATGCATTAAGCTGTTGTTTCAGTGTTCTTTTGATGAGTTTGGCTTGTTGTTATGAACAGTGTTTGTTTTTGCGAGTTTGAAGGTTTTTGAGCATGTGTAATGGCATGAATGCGTTAAGCTGTTGTTTTAGTGTTGTTTTGATGAGTATTGGCTTGTTGTCATGAGCATTGTTTGTTTTGGCGAGTTTGAAGGTTTTTGAGTATGTGTAATGGCATGAATGTGTGAAGCTGTTGTTTTAGTGTTCTTTTGATGAGTTTGGCTTGTTGTTATGAACAGTTTGTTTTGGCGAGTTTGAAGGTTTTTGAGCATGTTTAATGGCATGTTTGTGTTAAGCAGTTGTTTTAGTGTTCTTTTGATAAGTTTGGCTTGTTATGTAAAGTGTTTGTTTTGGCGAGTTTGAACGTTTTTGAGCATGTGTAATGGCATGAATGCGTTAAGCTGTTGTTTTAGTGTTCTTTTGATGAGTTTGGCTTGTTGTTATGAAAAGTGTTTTGGCGAGTTTGAAGGTTTTTGAGCATGTGTAATGGCATGAATGCATTAAGCTGTTGTTTCAGTGTTCTTTTGATGAGTTTGGCTTGTTGTTATGAACAGTGTTTGTTTTTGCGAGTTTGAAGGTTTTTGAGCATGTGTAATGGCATGAATGCGTTAAGCTGTTGTTTTAGTGTTGTTTTGATGAGTTTGGCTTGTTGTTATGAGCATTGTTTGTTTTGGCGAGTTTGAAGGTTTTTGAGCATGTGTAATGGCATGAATGTGTGAAGCTGTTGTTTTAGTGTTCTTTTGATGAGTTTGGCTTGTTGTTATGAACAGTTTTTTTTGGCGAGTTTGAAGGTTTTTGAGCATGTTTAATGGCATGTCTGTGTTAAGCAGTTGTTTAAGTGTTCATTTGATAAGTTTGGCTTGTTATGTAAAGTGTTTGTTTTGGCGAGTTTGAACGTTTTTGAGCATGTGTAATGGCATGAATGCGTTAAGCTGTTGTTTTAGTGTTCTTTTGATGAGTTTGGCTTGTTGTTATGAACAGTGTTTGTTTTTGCGAGTTTGAAGGTTTTTGAGCATGTGTAATGGCATGAATGTGTTGAATTAGTAATCCCTTGTGTTAAGCTGTTGTTTAAGTGTTCTTTTGATGAGTTTGGCTTGTTGTTATGAGTATTGTTTGTTTTGGCGAGTTTGAAGGCTTTTGAGCATGTGTAATGACACGTATGTGTTGAATTAGTTAACCCTTGTGTTAAGCTGTTACTTTAGTGTTCTTTTGATGAGATGGCGTGTTTTTATGAACATTGTTTGTTTTGGCGAGTTTGAAAGGTTTTTGAGCATGTGTTTTGGCACGTATGTGTTGATTTGGTTACCCCTTGTGTTAAGCTGTATTTTAAGTGTCCATTTAAAGAGTTTGGCTTGTTGTTATGAACATTTTTTGTTTTGGCGAAGTTGAAGTTTTCTGAGCATGTGTTATGGCATGTATGTGTTTAATTGGCTACCCCTTGTGTTAAGATGTATTTTGAGTGTTCTTTTCAGGAGTTTGGCTTGTTGTTATGGACATTGTTTGTTTTGGCGAGTCTGAAGGTTTGTTAGCATGTGTAATGACATGGTTGTGTTGAATTAGTTAAACCTTGTGTGAAGCTGTTGTTTTGGTGTTCTTTTGATGAGTTTGGCTTGTTGTTATGATCATTGTTTGTTTTGGCGAGTTTGAAGGTTTCTGAGCATGTGTTATAGCAGGTATGTGTTTAATTGGCTACCACTTGTGTGAAGCTGTTGTTTTAGTCTTCTTTTGATGAGTTTGGCTTGTTGTTATGAACATTGTTCGTTTTGGCCAGTTTGAAGGTTTTTAAGCATGTGTTATGTCACCTATGTGTTTAATTGGCTACCACTTGTGTTAAGCTGTTGTTTAAGTCTTTTGATGAGTTTGGCTTGTTGTTATGAACATTGTTTGTTTTGGCGAGTTTGAAGGTTTTTGAGCATGTGTAAAGGCATGTATGTGTTGAATTAGTTAACCCTTGTGTGAAGCTGTTGTTTTAGTCTTCTTTTGATCAGTCTGAAGGTTTGTGCGCATGTGTTATGGCTCGTATGTGTTGAATTTGCTACCCCTTGTGCTAAATTGTATTTTAAGTGTTCTTTTAAAGAGTTTGGCTTGTTGTTCGGATCATTGTTTGTTTTGGGGAGTTTGAAGGTTTTTGAGCATGTGTTATGGCATGTATGTGTTGAATTAGTATACCCTTGTGTTTAGCTGTTGTTGAAGTGTTCTTTTAAAGAGTTTGGCTTCTTGTTATGATCATTGTTTGTTTTGGCGAGTTTGAAGGTTTGTGAACACGTTTTATGGCATGCATCTGTTGATTTTTTTTACCCCCTGTGTTTAGCTGTTGTTTAAGTGTTCTTTTGATGTGTTGGCTTGTTGCTATGATCGTTGTTTGTACTGGCGAGTTTGAAGGTTTGTGCGCATGTGTTGAATTTGCTACCCCTTGTGCTAAATTGTATTTTAAGTGTTCTTTTAAAGAGTTTGGCTTGTTGTTATGATCATTGTTTGTTTTGGCGAGTTTGAAGGTTTGTGAGCATGTGTTTTGGCATGCATCTGTTGAGTTTGTTACCCCCTGTGTTTAGCTGTTGTTTAAGTGTTCTTTTGATGTGTTGGCTTCTTGTTATGATCGTAGTTTGTATTGGTGAGGTTTTTTTTATGCTCAATTTGACATACTCTTTGAAAACATGAAGTCAAAATTTTCACCGGGTCAATACTAAAGCCAGGACAAATTCTGTCCCTTTAGTGCCTCTCAGTGGCCAATACTTAATCAGACATAAACATCAAAAAACATCATCAAAAACTGGTGATCTTCCACAGGTAATCAAAGTCTTGAATATGTCAAAGATTAGTAATATCATTGACTTTATTCCCTTTTTAGTTTTTCTGTAGCATCAGGTTTAATAAAAAACTCCCTTTGGCGTCCCTCAGTGGCCAAAACTACTTTGTCTGCTGTAAAATATATTGGATTAATATTTTTTTCAGATTTTTTTCATATATCTCTTATTTTACTTCTGCCCTGTTCAAAACTAGCAAATGTTTCATTGAAAATAAAAATTTTAACCCTATAAGGGCCCATTTCAGACCTAAAGTCACTTATCAAGCAAAAAAAAAAAGGAAGGAAAATGACCTATTTTTTTAATAAAACATAATCCGAAGCCGGTGATTTTTTACAAGGTGCATAGGCTTGGGCATGTGGAGGATTAGAAACATCAGAATGTTTGGTACATTTTTGTGTAACAGATTTTCATAAAAACTGCATTGATTAAGTGGTTTTATAAGTGCATTCCCTTTACTAACATCAGAGCATTCTCTTTCACTGACTGCAGGTGGTAGTAATGTGTGAGACAGTATTCAGTGTGCGTTTGTGTGCACGTGCGTGCATTTGCGTGTGTGTGCGTGTATGTGTGAGTGTGTGTGTAACAAACAATATAAGATTGGAACACAACCATATTTTATTGCTCAAAATACATCAACAAAAATAGAAGGTGGTGTGTGTGTGTGTGTGTGTGTGTGTGTGTGTGTGTGTGTGTGTGTGTGTGTGTGTGTGTGTGTGTGTGTGTGTGTGTGTGTGTGTGTGAGTGAACATGTGTGTGTGTGCTTACCAAACCTGAAAGGTTAGGTAAGCAAGGTTGGTAAGCAAGGTGGAAAGAGAGACACCCAGATATGGGTTTCTACGACCCATTCTTTCCAACACCTCCCAGTCGTTGTCTGTTCCCTTCTCCAGTAAGATAAATATCTGCTCCTCACACTAGCAATTTTAGAACTGAAGAAGCTTCTTGGATAAGAGGCAAAACACCTTCTCAACTCTACACAGTCCAGTTGCCTGTTTTTAAGTCTAAATCTTGCCCCAAGTGGCTTTTTTTAGCCACACCGTTACATTAGGGATAAACTTTAAAAAATGCACGATCATCAGAGATAAAAACTAAACGTTATTGCCTTGATACTTACTCATCTTTACCAATATCATCTACACTGATTTTAATGATAGGATTTTCAGTAACCAGCTACATCACCAATGATAGACCTTTCATGCAAATGAATTCAGTTAGTTTAAACACTCACACTAAAGGTTAAATTTAGGGTGTGTGACTTGATTCTGAGCAGTGTACAGCAAACCTGGGTCATGGAAAGGAAAAAAGAGAAAAGGGACTAGGTTTCATTTTCTGAAATAAGTGACAAAAAGTATTAAACTTTTCATGCTATTCTAAATGTAAATGACCCACATTATGTGTTTGTATCAGCAGTCTTATTTTGAAGTTAAAATCTCTATTTTCGATTATTTTATTTCCTGTGAGTAATATAACAGAGACCGATCCCCTTATTTTGAAAGAATTTTCACCGGAAGTTAGAAGTCAATGAACAGTAAAAGATATGAAAAGTCAGGATCACAATCGTCAATAAGGATCTCTTAAGTTGTAAAGTACCTGGTTGATAGAGGCACAACATATGCTTCTTTTCTCACACAAATTAATATGAAGTGCCTTTTTAAGAGTTTTTATGAAATTTGATCGAGTTTCGTGTTGCTGAGTACTAGTAAAGATGCTACAGTTACGATGATGGTTACAGTTAACACAGATGACACAGTTAACACAAGAAAGTTGATTTCATTGTTCTTGAAGGTGTATAAAATATATAATTTTAATCAAACGATTTTCTGTTACAGAAAGTGTATTAATATTGTTCCTATTGTTTTTTCGCTAGCTCTTGCGGTGTGTTCACACTCTTTAATGGAAGTTTAAAGATGGAAGTTTAAAGGAACCATTTTAAAAATAAAACTTTGTGAAACATCAGTTGGAGAGTCAGTCCATAAATCAACCAGGATGCGACAGTAAATTTAACGATATGTATATATAGATACACAGTCAAGATATGCAACATAACCATTGATCTAATAATCGGATCCTATTCTGAGTTATTTTTACATTTACTAATTTTGGATAACTAAAAATTTTTTTCTATTTAGAAAAACATAAGATCAAGCTTAAGATCTGACAATTAAATGAAAAATTATCACACACCCCCTTTTCAAACTTACCAGTTCGTTCAAGCCTTCAGGACCGAATGTGCTCTGCCTCTCCGTTTGCATCTTTTCAGCCTGTGCCTTCTCAAATCGCCGTTCACAGACATTGTGATGATCTTTTAGCTTGTCCAGATGACGAAGCAGATGCTACTGGGCCTGCAAAAAACAGAAAATATAGTTTTAACTACAATGGTGAACCAAATTGAACATCTATTCCCCTTTTTCTTTTATTACACAAGACAACAAAGGAAAGCTGGGCTGCTGTGACAAAAATATCCTGTATGTGCTGAGACACCAAGGCTTACTAAATATAGAACTACCTCAATAATTTAAAGATCAAGGTTTTAAGACCAATGATATGCATAGTTGATCAAATGTGTATTTATACACATTTTATGCTAAATTGTAGTGTACCTCTTGATTTCCAGAGCCCAAAGATGTCTTCATGACCTTGGGCTTTGCTAGTTCACAGCCTGTTTTCACCTCAGCACCTGAGAATAAATATAAAAGGTCAATCATGGATATCTTGAAGACTTAAAACAGGCAACTGGACTGTGTAGAGTTGAGAAGACGTTTCGCCTCTTATCCAAGAAGCTTCTTCAGTTCTAAAAGTGCTAGTGTCAGGAGCAGATATTTATCTTACTGGAGAAGGGGGACAGTTAACGACTGGGTGGAGTTGAAAAGAATGGGTCGTAGAAACCCATCTCTGGGTGTGTGTCCCCCCAAGTCGTGAACCTGAAAGGGTCGTTAGCGACTCCTGTCATGTGACCACATGACTCATGCCACCTGGGTCATGTGGTTCCAGGTGTGAATGTTTGTGGAGCTTCCTGGGGAGAGAGCTGAGAACTGCATTGTAAGTGCCAGAAAGATTGTGCCTGAGTCCACCCCCTCTGAGTGTGGACTCAGTGGTGGCTGAGTGTTCTGATGACACCCAGTTTGTGCTGCAGAGGATGGTGGGAATCAAAAAGTAAATATTAATCTGTGTGTGTTGGTTTCCTGTACACTTCAACGTTGAGACACCCATCTGCCTCCAAGTGTACAGCACAGTCCAAAAAGGCCAACACAGTGTCCTTGACATCTTCACTTGACAGCTTCTTGGATAAGAGGCGAAACGTCTTCTCAACTCTACACAGTCCAGTTGCCTGTTTTAAGTCTTCAAGATAACCATGACCTGGATGAATGAGAATCTACATGGTCAATCATGGATATGACTGATTAATTACAAACTCAATTACACAGATACAATCAATTTAAAAATTGATCTCAGACATGTTGATTAATAAAAAAACATAAGCCAACAATATTATATTTTGTTTGACAGCATACATAACCCTTGTGAAACCGTTAGATTTAGATCAGTTGTTAATGCTCAGTGGCTAAAAAAAATCACTGACATTAACCGCTGTAAAAACATATTGGATTCATATTTTTTCTAGATTTTTTTCACACATCTCTTAATTAACTTCTGCTGTATTCAAAACTAGTAAATGTGTCATTAAAAATCAAAATTTTAACCCTTTAAGGGCCAATTTAAAACATAAAGTCACTAATATTAGGAAAAAATGAAAAAATGTAACCAATGTTAACATTAGAACCAAACCATATTTTATCGCTCAAAATGCAATAAAACAAAAGCCATAAATACACAACAACAGAGTATCAAACCAGAACAAACGACTAACTTTTGAGGGTGAAGCGGTGGAGAGGACTGAAAGAAACCTGGGGAGCCTAAGAGAGCGAATGTGTGAGAAATTGAGTGAGCAAAGAGAGATAAAATGTAAAAGTGTGTGTGTTTGTTTGAGTGAGTGAGTGAGTGAGTGAGTGAGTGAGTGAGTGAGTGAGTGAGTGAGTGAGTGAGTGAGTGAGTGAGTGAGTGAGTGAGTGAGTGAGTGAGTGTGTGTGTGTGTGTGTGTGTGTGTGTGTGTGTGTGTGTGTGTGTGTGTGTGTGTGTGTGTGTGTGTTTGTGTGTTCAATGTTTGAAGCAAGACCGGCAGGAGATCTCTCTGTGGTCATGCCAGATGTGTTTCCAAACAGGCCAGACAAAATCCGAAGCCCCAAAAGATGTGTGTTTGCGTGCGTGTCTGCATGCGTGCATGTGAGTGTGTGCATGTGAGAGAGAGAGGGGAGGAGCCTGCAGGTCATGACCCAGCACTGACCCCGCCACAAAAGTTAACTATGTTCTTCAGCTCTCAGAAGTACAGAGAGGGGGAAAAAAATAAACAAAAACAAAAGTGAGCTGTCCTGCAATCCACAACTTGCAGATTCTAATGACCATTTTTTCATGAGAAGAGCAAGAGAAAGCATGAAGAGAAGCTTCTGCACCACGGAGGCCCTTGCAATTGTCATTGATTCTGATGGGATGGAATCTGACCCCCCACAGGATCCATCATCATTGTCTGGCCTATTTTGTTCGAGGGGTGAATCTACTGCCTCGCAGTGAGATGTGGATCTCTCCTGGAACCGGAGAAAGTGATTCAGGAGGAGGCTTTTCGTGGAGGACCTGGGAACGGCTTTGGTGTCAAAAAGAACTAACAAAACCTGTGAGTTATGTGTGAAACACATCTGGCATGAACACAGAGTGATCTCCTGCAGGTCTTGCTTCAAACACTGAACACACACACACACACACACACAGAGCTGAGTTCTGGCTCAGCACATTACGACCAAGCTGGTACCGAAAGAGAATGCAAGTATAGAAAAGACACAAATAGTGCAAGTGTTTTTATGAGTGTTTTGTGAAAGTTTCTATGAAAATTAGACATTACACAAAATGTATCATAGTTTCTGAGGTTTCTAATCTTTCACAAGGCCAAGACCATGCAACATGTAAAAAATCACCTGTTTCTGATTATGCTTTATGATGAAAATAGGTCATTTTTGTGTATATGTCTACCATGTCAGTGACATTATGCTTTGAATGGACCCTCAAAGGGTTAAAAAAATGTTTTTATATGAAACATTTACTAGTTTTGATCAAAGCAGAAGTTACTTAAGAGATATATGAAAAAAACTGAAAAAAAATATTAACCCAATATCTTTTTACAGCAGTCAAAGTTAGTGGCTTTATTTAGCCACTGAGTGTAAACAAAGAATAGAAAATTTGCCCAGCCCGTATTTTTGACCTGGTGAAAATTTTGAAGTCATATTTTCAAAGTGTCCATCAATATAGGCATCTGCACAAAAAATCATCCCATTTGCTGCAGTTAAAAACAAAGTTACATGGAAATTAGTGGCTAAATTTTGCCCCAAGTGGCTTTTTTTAGCCACACCGTTACATTAGGGATAAACTTTAGAAAATGCACGATCATCAGAGATAAAAACTAAACGTTATTGCCTTGATACTTACTCATCTTTACCAAAATCATCTACACTGATTTAAATGATAGGATTTTAAGTAACCAGCTACATCACCTATGATAGTCCATTCATGCAAATGAATTCAGTTAGTTAAAACACTCACACTAAAAGTTAAATTTAGGGTGTGTGACTTGATTCTGAGCTGTGTACAGCGAATCTGGGTCATGGAAAGGAAAAAAGAGAAAAGGGACTAGGTTTCATTTTCTGAAATAAGTGACAAAAAATATTGAACTTTTTCATGCTATTCTAAATGTAAATGAACCACATTATGTGTTTGTATCAGCAGTCTTATTTTGAGGTTAAAATCCCTATTTGCTATTATTTTATTTCCTGTGAGTAATATAACAGAGACCGATCCCCTTATTTTGAAAGAATTTTCACCGGAAGTTAGAATTCAATGAACAGTAAAAGATATGAAAAGTCAGGATCACAATCGTCAATAAGGATCTCTTAAGTTGTTTAAAGTACCTGGTTGATAGAGGCACAACATATGCTTCTTTTCTCACACAAATTAATATGAAGTGCCTTTTTAAGAGTTTTTATGAAATTTGATCGAGTTTCGTGTTGCTGAGTACTAGTAAAGATGCTACAGTTACGATGATGGTTACAGTTAACACAGATGACACAGTTAACACAAGAAAGTTGATTTCATTGTTCTTGAAGGTGTATAAAATATATAATTTTAATCAAACGATTTTCTGTTACAGAAAGTGTATTAATATTGTTCCTATTGTTTTTTCGCTAGCTCTTGCGGTGTGTTCACACTCTTTAATGGAAGTTCAAAGATGGAAGTTTAAAGGAACCATTTTAAAAATAAAACTTTGTGAAACATCAGTTGGAGAGTCAGACCATAAATCAACCAGGATGCTACAGTAAATTTAAAGATATGTTTATTTATATACACAGTCAAGATATGCCACATAACCATTGATCTAATAATCTGATCCTATTCTGAGTTATTTTTACATTTACTAATTTTGGATAACTAAAAATTTTTTTTTCTATTTAAAAAACCATAATAAAATCAAGCTTATGATCTGACAATTAAATGAAAAAATATCACACACCCCCTTTTCAAACTTACCAGTTCGTTCAAGCCTTCAGGACCGAATGTGCTCTGCCTCTCCGTTTGCATCTTTTCAGCCTGTGCCTTCTCAAATCGCCGTTCACAGACATTGTGATGATCTTTTAGCTTGTCCAGATGACGAAGCAGACGCCACTGGGCCTGCAAAAAACAGAAAATATAGTTTTAACTACAATGGTGAACCAAATTGAACATCTTTTCCCCTTTTTCTTTTTTTACACAAGACAACAAAGGAAAGCTGGGCTGCTGTGACAAAAATATCCTGTATGTGCTGAGACACCAAGGCCTATTAAATATAGAACTACCTCAATAATTTATAGATCAAGGTTTTAAGACCAAGGATATGCATAGTTGATCTTGTGTGTATTTGTACACATTTTATGCTAAATTGTAGTGTACCTCTTGATTTCCAGAGCCCAAAGATGTCTTCATGACCTTGGGCTTTGCTAGTTCACAGCCTGTTTTCACCTCAGCACCTGAGAATAAATATAAAAGGTCAATCATGGGGGTTCCGGTGATGTCGTCATACTGAGAGGATCGAGGCCAGATAGCTCCCGGCGAGATTACCCACAAATTTATATTTTAAGAGTTATATTTGTAGCCAGACTCAACATATTGGGACGTCAGTGGTTGATGAACATCCCCGACCGAGAAATGCCGACAAATAAGAACGTAAAAGCCCCGGTCCAGAGAAGCTTTAGCCATCAAGTTGATAACGCTAGCGGAGCTAATGCTAAAGACGGCGAGCTAACAGGTGGCGCTGACCTGGCAGCGGCGGTGGCAGCGGAGACTACGGCCAAAGTTGCAGCCATCATGGAAGAGAAGATGTCTATGTTTTCCAACAAACTGGATATCATTACGGCCAAGCTGGAAAGCGAATCACAGCGTATTGAGGAGGTGGAAAATCGCGTTTCCAGCGCCGAAGACATCATTGCTGATTTGGAGAGCAGACTAGCAGATACGGAAAATAAACTCGCAGCCCTCGCTAACCGCATGGATGACCAGGAGGCAAGATCCCGGAGGGATAACATCAGGATTTTCGGTGTCAAAGAAGGGATTGAAGGAAGCAACGCACTGCACTTTTTTGAAACATGGCTGCCCAAACTTCTTAGCATGGAAACAAAGAAAGGCCGGATCCGACTGGACAGATGCCATAGAGGTCTCGGTCGACCTAAACCGGGGGTGCCCCGCGTAGTCGTCATGAAGCTTCATTACCCGGCGGATAAGATGAAGATACTAGCGGTTGGTGCGAAACAGAAGCTGGAATACGAAGGGTCCAGGATCTCCATTCGCCAAGACATCCCGCAAAATGTCCTGCAGCAACGGAGGAGATTTAATGAGGTGTGCCAAAAGCTGATCTCCAAGCATATCAGGTTCAGGATGCAGTACCCGGCGACCCTCCGCTTCACTTACAACGGCAAGGATTTCTCCTTCGACACAGCTGAGGAGGCTGCCCACATTATCGGGGCAATGGATGCAGCCCCGTGAGTACCGTGAAAAAAATTAGCCTACAGCAGTGTACGCTGAGCGGGGTGCTTAGGTGTACAAGTAAAGGTACACAACGTTGTGTTTAATGCAGATGTGCGTTGTTAAATTGAATTTATATACCACCCCGCGGGTTCAGCGCCTTTTGAGCTGCCACGCACTGATACAGCTGACTTTGCCATGTACTGGCTACATGTAAGGTGACTTAACTGTGGGGGTCCGAGTCGGGAGTGAGTGGATGTCATGACGGCCGCAGATCACGGACTACAACTGTGGATCGGGGTCAAGTGCACCCACAACGCGCGTCGTTTCCTCCCAGCTCCAAGGGACCCTTTGTTTTGTATCCTTGAGAGGACTGTTCAAGTTGTGTCCAAAGGGACAGGTTCGTTTCAGTCGAGTGTGTTCATTGATGAGTATATGTTCCTGGTACTTTTGTTGTTTGACTACAAGTTTAAAGAGAGCGAGTTAGGTCTGCTACTTACTTTGTTTTTATTTTCCTATTTCCCTTATCTTAATTTGTTTGAAGTTTGTCTTTTTCCCTCACCTCCGCTTGTGCCCTTGTACTGTTTCTTTTATGTGCCTTGCTTTAACGTTAGATGCATTCGTAGTCAGTCATCTAACTGGGTAGAAAGATGAACTTCACTAAGTATGTTTCATTTAACATAAAAGGGATAAATAATGCTGTTAAACGTAAAAAACTGTTATGCTGGCTAAAAAAGAAAAAAACTAACATAGCCCTGTTACAAGAAACCCATTTAGATGATAAGGAACATGAAAAACTTAAGAGAGAATGGGTAGGACAAATTTATTATTCCTCATTTTCTACAAATAAGAGAGGGGTGGCCATCCTAATAAATAAAAATACCCCATTTACTCTACAAAAATGTATTAAAGACTGTCAAGGCCGATATGTGATTATTACAGGATTCTTGTATGGGGAACATATAATGATTGGTTGTGTATATGCTCCGAATGTGTACCAAGAGGAATTTTACTCTAAACTGCTAGCTGATGCCTCAGCAATGTCTGCAACATTCAGTATACTTGCAGGAGACTTTAACTGTGTTTTGAACCCTGAGGTAGACCAAAGCCCCATGACAAAAGCCACGTCTAAAATGAGGGAGGCCACTAAAGAGCTATGTGTTGACGTACAGCTTTTTGATGCCTGGAGAACTATCCACCCGAGGGAGAGAGATTATACTTTTTTTTCACACCCACACCAAAGTTTTTCCCGTATAGATTTCTTCTTTGTCTCAAGGATGGTGTTAGATAGGGTGGAGGAATGTACTATAGGTACCCGGCTACTATCTGACCATGCAGATGTATCCATCACAATTACCCCCCCCTCCCCCCAGCCCACACCATGCTACTGGCGACTGAATCCCTCTCTTTTTAATAATCCCTCGTTTATGACTTTTATGGAAGAACAAATTGATATTTTTCTTTCAACTAATGATAACGAGGATACTAATCCATCAATACTTTGGGATACACTCAAAGCTTACTTGAGGGGAGCCATAATTTCATATAGCACAGCCAGAAAAAAGGAAGCTTTGAGAGAGCAGCTGGATTTGGAGAGACAACTGACTGATCTTGATAGACAATTAAAGGATAATTATTCTACAGCCCTATTCAAAAAAACAGAAGCCACACGATCTGCTCTCAACCAACTTCTTACACAAAAGGCAGAAGCAAGTATCTTTTATGCAAAACATAGATTGTTTGAAATGGGTGACAAACCAGGGCGACTTCTTGCACGCTTGGCAGCTGGTAGGCGAGATGTTAGAGCTATCTCCTCCTTAAAGGACGAAACTGGGAAAAATCATTATGAGACCAAAACAATGGTGGAGATAATGAAGGGCTTTTATGAAAAACTCTATACCTCAGAATCCAATACATCACCCAACTGTATACAGAGTTTTCTAGATAAGCTTAGTCTCCCCTCCTTATCAGAAGAAGATAAATCCGCTCTTGGAAAACCAATAACTAAGGAAGAGATTAAAAATGCAATCAATTCCCTGCAGAATGGAAAGGCCCCGGGGCCAGATGGCTATGGTCCAGAGTTTTATAAAAAAATTAGTAAACTTAATAGATGGACCTCTGCTAAGGATGTTCCTTCACTCAATAGAGAAGGGCTCCCTACCATGCTCGTTGTATGCTGCCAATATATCTTTAATCCTTAAAAAGGGAAAACCCCCTGACGAGTGCGGCTCATACCGGCCTATTAGCCTGATGAATGTGGACAGTAAAATATTTTCTAAAATATTAGCGAAGAGACTCGAGAACTACTTGCCACTTCTAATTGGATCTGACCAGACGGGCTTTATTAAAGGCAGGAACTCTTATACCAATATGAGAAAATTACTTAACATTATGCAGTATGCAAATACTAATCAGGTACCGGGTCTTGTTATCTCACTTGACGCCGAAAAGGCATTTGATCGCGTGGAATGGCCCTATTTATTCACGATCATGGAAAAATTTGGACTTGGGGAGGGGTTTATTAAACTTACTAAGTTGATATATTTCTCACCCAGAGCGAGTGTTCTTGTAAATGGTATTAAATCATCTGAGTTTGGGTTGGGGAGGTCCACTCGACAGGGGGACCCTCTGTCCCCACTTATT